GAATTTGTTGAAACATATATGAAGATCATAGGGGCTTAAAGATGTTGATAATGATCTTCTGAGATTGTCTTCTACAGAATCGATCACTGTATGCTCGGCTCTAACTGCTGTGCAAGATACCAAAGTCTGCCCTGTATGTTGGGTCTGACCATAATAATATGCAGAGTTAATATTATACAAAGTTAATAAAACTCAAAGTTATTGATGTCTAAAGTTATTAATACTTAAAGTTAATAATTAGTCTTTATTATATTATAATCTGTTATTAAAAATTAATTAATATAAATTACTAGCTTATTGTTGTATTATGTATTTTGTTTGTTTTTTTACTTTACAAAACATAATTTTTTTTATGCTATTGGACAATTATATAAAAATACAAACCTTGACATTAAAGTAATTAAACAATCATTTGAAAATACTGACCTTAATATTAATGTTAAAATAAAACCTAATATTAATATTAATACTAGTAATAATAAAAATACAAACCTTGACATTAAAGTAATTAAACAATTATTTGAAAATACTGACCTTGATATTAATGTTAAAATAAAACCTAATATTAATATTAATACTAGCAATAATAAAAATTCTCTTAATATTTTAAATAATAATAAATTATCTATAACTTTATCTAAAGAACAAACCCTTTTAACTAGTAATAATTTAGTTACAATACTTGTTGGATAAACTTTTATTAATTGGCATAATGTTCAATAGTACATTAATTTTATGCAATAAGTCAAGATTTTTCTACAAGACTTTGCAGAATAAAAAAAAATATGTATTTTATTCTTAAAGCAAATATCATCTGTTATTATGCCAATACTGTTAGCAATATAAGTACTAGGCTAAGAAAGACAAAAAGTATCATTATTAATTGCCTATTTAAGATACTAGTTGCTAGACAAAACATGAATATTTGTAATGCAGATTAAATTTGAATATAATTATTTTTTAGACCTTGCTATAGGTATTTTAATTATAGCTATTAAAAGATAAGTTATAATAAAAATATGCATATACAAATGCTTTATAATAGAAGAGTGCCAATACTAACAATTATTAATATGCTAACTGAACAGTATAACAAATATATTCATAGTAAAGATATGTATAATTCTTTAAATCATCAGTCTTATAATTATGTAAAAAGTTTGTTATAAACTACAAAATTGCTAAATTATTTAAATAGTAATAATAAATATTTTATTACCTATATAGTAAATAATAAAAAACTTAATTGTATATTTTTTCTATTCATTTTGCAATTTTTATCTTTAAAGTTATCCTAATATTATATTAATAAATTTCATGTATAAAACTAATTAGTTTGAATTGTATTATATTTTTATTTATTATTTTTTTTAATTTATTTTATCTTTTTTTAATTTTTTAATTTTTTTAAAAAATATTTCTTTAATATATTAAATTAAAATGCCACTTCTATTCATTACTGGTATTAATGCAATAAGTATAATATTTTTTACTATAAACTGTCTTCTTGCTAATAAAACTTCATTAAATTTTTGTTTGGTATTTTATTAATTAAAGCAAGTAGTTGGTAACATAATCATTAACAATATACAGACTTTTGTAAATAATAAAAATCTTGTACTTATTATTTAAATGTGTCACATGTTAAACTTTAGCTTTGTATTTAGCATATTGAGCAAAATATTATTAAAAATTTAAATAATAAGATCAAAAATAAGTTAATAGTATTTAACAAAGATTTCAAATTAGCAGAACTCTCCCCTGCAGATCACTCGACCAAAAATTGTTAAGAAGCAAAACACAGAAAAACCGCAAAACCAACTAGGA